CAGCAGCAGCAGCAGCAGCAGCAGCAGCAGCAGCAAGACATAGGATGCTGACTTCAGTTGTATAAAGAGCTGCTGCTGCTACGGCTGCTGCTGCTGCTACAGCTGCTGCTGCTACAGCTGCTGCTGCTGCTGCTGCTGCTGCTGTGTGTGCAGCATATTGCTGCAGTACTGTCTGCTGCTGTGTGCTTCTCTACACCCTGGAGGAACTAAAAGCTGCTGCAGCAGCAGCAGCTGCTGCTGCTGCTGTTGCTGCAGCAGCGTCAGCTGCTGCTGCTGTTGCTGCAGCTGCACACAGCAGCAAGAGCGCAGGTGTATGTGTTTCGTATATTCTGCTGCTGTTGCTTGTTGCTGTTTGTTTGTTGCTGCTTGCTGCTTCTCTGTTGTCTTGCTGCTTCAGCTCGTTCTTTTGTTTCCCTGCTGTTTGTCTGCTGCTCCCTTTCAGAGCTGCTGCTGCTGCTGCTGCTGCTAGCAGCAGCAGCAGCAGCAGCAGCAGCAGCAGCAGCAGCAACTGCAGCAGCAGCCGCTGCTGCTGCTGAACGAGCGATTTGTATGTAGGACGAGTTGCTCTGGGGCTGCATGTGCAGCGCAGCAGCAGCCGCTATCGTGGGGTCACCCTGCTGCTGCTGCTGCTGCTGCTACTGCTACTACAGCTGCTGCTGCTGCTGCTGCTACTCCTGCTACTACATCTGCTGCTGCTGCNCTGCTGCTGCTGCAATGTTTGTATTGGGCGAGCTAAGCATCTTCCTGCTGCTGCAGCAGCAAAGAGAGCCAGCTGCTGCTGGCGGAGAAGAGCCGCATGCATGCTGCTATCCAGGCTGTTTCTGCTGCAGCAAAATGCATGTGCTGCTGCTGCTGCTGCTGCTGCTCCCTACGGGCTTCAGTGTGCTGCTGCTGCAGCGGCTCCAGCTGCTGCTTCACCTGCATCTGCTGCTGCTCGAGCTCCTGTAGCTGCTGCTCGATCTGCTGCAGCTGCTGCTGCAGCTGCTGCTGCTGCTGCTGCTGCTGCTGCAGGGCCTCGTCCTTTCTGCTGCTCCTCGCTGCGCGGTGTATAGAGACCCGCAGTTGATGCTTCAGCTGCTGCTGCTGCAGCAGCAGCTGGTGTTGCTGTTTCTCCTGCTGCTGCTGCTGTAGCTGCTGCAGCCGCACTTCTCTCTCAACCTCTCGTAGACGTTTTGCTGCTGCTGCTGCAGCAACTGCTGCTGCTGCATCGGCCTTGCCTAGCTCCATCATACTTTCTGCGCTCGCCATGCAGGGGTGCCCGTACACCTGCTGCTGCAGCTGCTGCTGCTGCAGCTCGTGCTGCTGCAGCTGTCTGCGGATGCCTCTATTCTTGCTTCTGCTGGGTGTTATGTGCTGCTGCTCCTGCTGCTGCTGCTGCTGCTGNCTGCTGCTGCTGCTGCTGCTGGTAGCGCACTGCAGCAGCAAAAGCCTCCCGCAGCTGTACTTCTTTATTCGCTGCACTCTGCAGGGCGTCTTCTAACTCTCTGCTGCTGCTGCTGCTGTTGCTGCTGCTGCTGCTGCTGCTGCTGCTGTGAGGAACAGCACTGTATGCGAATTGTGTGTGCTGCTTGTAGACTGCAGCAAGCTGCTGCTGCTGCTTCTTTCTTGCTGCTGCAGCAAACTGCGCCTGTCCCCCAAGGACAACTAGCTGCAGCAGAAAGAGTCGTTTTCTGCTGCTGTTGCTGCTGCTGCTGCTGCTGCTGCTGCTGCTGCTGTTTTTCTCAGCAGCAACAGCAGCAGCAGCAGCGGCAAGGAACTCGCCAAAGTATCTGCGGGCTTCAGAGCTCTTCGGCTGTCTCAATAGGGGGCTCATCCATGCTGCTTCTGCTGCATAGTCTTGCTGCAGCTGCTGCAACAGCTGCTGCTGCTGCTGCTTCATGCTTGGCTGCTGCAGCAGGGGATCTATCAGCCGCAGATAGAAGACAGACAGCAGCAGCACAGCAGCAACATACAGCACCAGCAGCAGCACCCACCGCAGCTCAGGTACCTCTCTTTGCTGCTGCCGCAGCTGCAGCAGCAGCAGCGCGTACCGCCGCTGCACCCAGTGCTGCAGCAGCAGCAGCAACCGGCGCATGCGCTGCAGCTGCAGCAGCAGCAGCAGCTGCTGCACCCGCAGCCAACGTCGCAGCCGGGCCCCACACTTCTTTACTCTACATCGTTGCTGCTGCTGCTGCTTCTGCTGCAGCAGCAACGCCGAGTCTGTATCAGCATCTCCTGCTGCTGCTGCTGCTGCTGCTGCTGCTGCTGCTGCTCCTGTTGCTGCTGCTGCTGCTGCTGCTGTTCGGTGCTTGAGAGGGGTAGCGGCAGCCGCTTGGCTGTTTTTGCTGCTGCAGCAGGAATGACAATCTGCTGCTGCTGCTGCTGCTGCTGTTGCTGCTGCTGCTGTTGCTGTCATCGCTGCTCTTGACACAGTAAACAACTTGCTGCTGCTGCTGTTGCTGCTGCTGCTGCTGCTGCTGCTGTAGTTACAGCTGCAGCAGCAAGAAGTAGCTTGTATTCGCTTCAGTCGTTTCTGCTGTCGCTGTCTCTTTTTCTCTGTCTCCTTTCTGTCTCCTTTTTCTGTCTCCTTTCTGTCTCTGTCTCTTCTTTGTTTCTGTTTTCTTTATCTGTCTCCTTTTTTATTGTCTCTTTTTTTCTCCGTCTCCTCTCTGTCTCCTCTTCCTTTCTTTGTCTTTGTCTCTGTCTCTGTCTCTCTGTCCCTTTATCTGTTTCTTTATCTGTCTCTTTATCTGTCTCCTTTTTCTCTGTCTCCTTCTCTGTCTCCTTTTTCTGTTTCTTTTTCTACCTCTCTCTGTCTCTGTCTCTGTCTCTGTCTCTTTCTCTCTATTCGTCTCTGTCTCTGTTTCTGTCTCTGTTTCTTTATTTGTCTCTTTATCTGTCTCCTTCTTCTCTGTCTCTCTTTCTCTGTCTCCTTATTTGTCTCTTTATTTGTCTCTTTATCTGTCTCCTTTTTCTCTGTCTCTCTTTCTCTGTCTCTTTATTTGCCTCTTTCTCTGTCTCTGTTTCTGTCTCTGTTTCTTTATTTGTCTCTTTATCTGTCTCCTTTTTCTCTCTCTGTCTCTCTCTCTGTCTCTTTATCTGTCTCTTTATCTGTCTCCTCTCTGTTTGGGTGTGTCTGTCTTGTCTTTGTTATTTAATTATTTATTTATTTTATTTATTTTATTTTATTTTATTTTTTATTTTTATTTTTATTTTTATTTTTATTTTTATTTTTATTTTTTTTTGGGTTCCCCCTCCGCTCGCCGCGCTGCACTGATGCAGCCAAACCCTAAACCCTAAACCCTAAACCCTAAACCCTAAACCCTAATATCTAAACCCTAAACCCTAAACCCNAAACCCTAAACCCTAAACCCTAAACCCTAAACCCTAAACCCTAATATCTAAACCCTAAACCCTAAACCCTAATATATAAACTACAAATCCTAAAACAAAGAAGAAGGCCCTCTGTAAATTGAGAGACAAATAAGGAGGCCACTCTTGCAGCAAACCCTAAACCCTAAACCCTAAACCCTAAACCCTAAACCCTAAACCCTCCAGCGTGAGTAAACCCTAACACCTAAACCCTAAACCCTAATTTATACAATCTAAACTTTCTGTGCAACTGTAGCAACTACTTTCTGTGGAGAAAAAACAAACCCTAAACCCTAAACCCTAAACCCTAAACCCTCAACCAGGCACAGCCGCCTCGCCCAGCTGGGGGGCCCCAGGGGGGCCCCGTCGATGTGTTAAGGGTTTAGGGTTTAGGGTTTAGGGTTTAGGGTTTATAAATAGGGTTTTTATTTGGGGTTTCATATACAGGGGCTTCACTAGGCCTCTAGGGGTGTAGTTATTTCTATCTCAGCAGCAGCAGCAGCAGCAGCAACAGCAGCAGCAGCAGCAGCAGCAGCAGCAAACCCAATCCATAACTACCGACGCTGCAGCAGCCGACCTGTTCAGCTCCGTGGGATGACAGCAGCAGCAGCATGGCTCTCGAGCCTGTATGAGCTGCAGCAGCTGCTGCAGCAGCAGCTGCAGCAGCAGCAGCAACAGCAGGTGCTGCCGACGTCGGGGTCGCCCACAGCAGAAGCAGCAGCAGGGTCTGCTGCTGCTGTTGCTGCTGCTGCTGCTGCTGCTGCTTCCTGCTGCAGCAAAAGGGTACCGCAGAGGTGTACGTACACTGCAGCAGCCTATAACCCCAAATTGCTTTTT